TGCTGATTCAAGAACATTAACCCCTTACAGGATCACGTGTCAGGACTCCGAAGGGTTCTCGTAGGCAGCACACATCAGTGCTGACCGGTCTTTCTGTGATACAGAAAATAATGTGAATTTCCTATAGCAGTTTACAGGGGGTTTGGTGCAAGCAACCAGTTACCAAACTGAAGTGGGCTGGGTACCAAAACCCTCCATCGGGAACAAAACTGAGTTTAGAAAGGCCCAGTCCCAGTGCTCATCAGCTTTCTGAACACTAGATACATGTATTCAGTCCACCCCCGTCGCTTTGCACGGTAGGCACTGTTGGACTGGAAGCTGCAGCCCAAACCATTTGCACTGGCCAAATGTTCCTGCTGCCACCCTGCTCTCTGTGCCCAGCAGAGGGTGGCTGTGCTGGGTGCCAGCAGGCAGCATTGGTATCCTGCCTTTCACTGGGCTGTCTCTCCTCACAGCCCAGGAAGACTTGGCTCAGATACCTCTGAGAGACTGCATTACGAACTGGCAGAGAACAGAACTGTATGGCTGATAAAAAGCAGGATCTCAGTCAAAGCAAGATTAAAACATGCTGGTAACATAAATTACGTTTCTTAATGCTCAAAGGTGGCAAGGTCTTGCTGTCTGTAACTGAACAGGTTTTTGACTCAAACAGCACTGTGGAAGTCAAAGAGTGTCACAAAGAATTGCAAATTACATTCCCCAGCTCAGCATGATCTGGCCTAGCACAAACAGCTTTTGCTTAAAATAGATGAACAGAGGTGGGTTCATCCCAGCATTCATTTCATCCTGCTACAAAGCATCCATACAAAATCAGTTTTTCCCCTGGAGCCAGTGGTAGAACTGTGCCCAGGGATTCAGCAGACATACACAAGGGACAATCTCCATGTTCCACATGGCAGCAAGGGTTGGTTTTTTATCAAAGATGTTTCCTTTTCAAGTGAAAACCTTGACATTTAGAGAGCAAAACAAATACTCTTATGTTTGGGTTTTCTTACACATTTGCTGACTAGGACAAAAAAAGGCAATAAAAAGAAGGTTGGAACGTCTCAACAAATGTTTGCTCCTAATTGTGGTAGGATGGAAAGAGATAAGGACAGAGCAGCAGAGTGAGTACACTCTCTCCAGCCCTGGCTCCCTCCTCTCCCCACAGAATCAGTGTCTGAAGTGGGAAGGGACCCATAAGGATCACAGAATCATAGATTCAAACAGGTTGGAAGAGACCTCAAAGATCATCAAGTCCAACCCTACTGTGGTTACTAGACCATGACACTAAGTGCCACATCCAGTTTCAACTCACAGGTCCAACTCCCTGCTCCTCACAGGGTTACCTAAAACCATAGACTAAATGTTGCACATATGCATCTAACTTCTTGCAATGCAGGATTTACCTCAATCCGACTCTTGGTTGCTTTATTTATTTTGTGCTCAATATGTGTTATGTTTACTACATAATATTAACCATGGTGGTACATTAAGCATAAGCACAGATGGGAACTGTATTCCTGCTAATTTGCAAAAACTACAAGGCTCATTTAACAACAGGTTTTGGCTCTGTTGTGAAGTCTTCATTGCACAAGATTGTTAACAAGCATGGAGCAATATCCTTGGGACAGACTTGATCTGTGGTGTCACACCTGACAAACAGTGTGTCCATCCAGAGTGGTGTACAGCCAGGTGGATTCTTTTGGGCTGGTATATAACACCCACTGGAAAGGGAAAACCAGGAGCTGTGTCCACAGTCCTGGCACACACTGAGCTCAGTCCTGCAAGGTACACAGTGCTCTTCATGTCCTACAGAGTTCAGCACCTTGCTAAACTGAGCCCCTTGTACTCGTCCCACACGCACAGCCTGTTGTGTGCCTCTGGCTTCTGTGGGGTTTGCCTCTTCAGGACCATGTAATTTTAGCTCAGTTTATTTACTTTGGAAAGAAATAGGCAGTAATTTTAAAATACCTTAAGTACCCTTGAGAAGTTCAGAATTATATGTTATGTCTTGTCAAAGCAAGCAAAACAGAAGCTCTTTAATTCTCTTACGTTTTCTTCTGTTGTAATAGGGTTTGCAAATAAATAAGTGTAGATATTGCATGCAAACCCAAAGCTGTTGCATTAAGCTAGGAAACAACTAGAGTATCGTAAAACCTGTAGCACTCATAAGTAAGTGATGGAAGTGATTTTCAAAGCTAGTTGAGAACTACCTCGATCTCCACACTGACCACTGACACCTACATCTCCTCTCTGCCTGCAGTGCAGAATGTACTGCAAGACATTTCCTGTTATTTAGTTTTTTAGGAACAACCTGATGAAATCCACATTTCTATAAATGAAAAGCCACTTTCTTCTCAATAATTTGATCAGCATTTTTGAACTGTGATAAATAATCTGCACACTTTGCAAGGTTCTGTTTCCTGAGCAATGCTCAGCACTTACAGAATGCTCTTAACAGTAGGTGAAAGAATGAAAAGAGTTTTTTTAATATTTCAGGGGATAACTCGGCTGCTTTAAAGGGTGATATTCATAACATACTGCTTGGAATTCAATGTCTAGAAATGTAATACTAAGCACAACTGTTTTGGAGGTTTTGGTGTTGGTTTTCTTAGTTAGTGTAGTTTAATAACAAATGTCATAAATCACCCTCATTGGCTCATCAGGGAATCCAGCCTTCCTTGGCCTGCCTTCACGACGAGTCCTCAGAATCTGTTTGGCATCTTTTTCAGACACGATTGGTGAGGTGTCTAAGGACAGAAATGCAGAAATCAGTTCTGAAATTATCAGAAAGTTAATATTTTATCTGTCAGTTGTAAAATGAAATGTCTCCAAACCTGATTTTCGTCTATATACAAAGTGTTCTTTCATTACAGCCCCATCCCAGGGGATATTGCATTCCAGGAGATAGGAGTGGAATTTTAAACCATTTTTACAGTTGTGTTTTCTCTAGTTCTACTAGTATGTAGCAAAGCCCACACATTTATGTTACTATCAAATGAGGAACTATAACAGCACCATCTAACCACTGGCACAAGTGACTCTTCCAACTCTCTGTTCTTTTCTGTGTTGCTTTATAGGATTATTTTTCAAAGTAATGTGTTAGACGTGTTGCAGAGGAGAGATTGCATTGAACGTTCCAGTTGCAGGACCATGGTAAAGTAGTATTAAAATAGTAAGCTAGCACATTTAAACGTTTTGGGTTTGCAATAAACAAATACAGCATGGTAATGTAGAGAGTTAAATGTCAAATGCAACAGCAAATTAAAACAGCAGTTAAATGCAACAGCAGTTAAAAATCAAATCATGGACAGCCTGCAATATCAAAATAGTCAAGCATTAAAAATTAAATACATGAAAATGGATGAATAATGACGACTAAAATAGAAGGCTGACAGACAAATACTACTAGTATTAGTAGCTCTACATACATACACAGGTTTGTTTCTATAAACTCTTACCTGTAACAGTGATTATCAGGACCAAAAAGGAGACAAACACAAGGAACTTCTCCATTTTGATTGTGCTTTCTCTCAGTCTGTTCCAAAATGAGAAACACTGACCGAGGCATTCGACTATTTGAAGTAGCTGTGCCAGTCACAAGTGTTTGTTTGTGCTTTAATTTGAGTCATAGTTTGATTTTGAAGACATCTGGTCTGAAGGTTTGAATTAGTCTATTATCTGCTCACACATTCTCAGCATAACTCTGTTCCTGAGTGAAAGAGAATAAAAGACCTTTTTTCCCACTTCAACTTCAGAGTTACACTGGGTATTTTAAATCTGTGAAAATAAAGTGCATCACCCTACATTTAGCACAGCAAGCAAAGGTTTTGGGTGCCTAAGGTAAACCATTGTTGTTTAAAAGAAACAATTTCCCATTATTGAATGCTCATTTCAAAGACAGCTGCAAAGGGGCCTCTTTTTCAAAGGTTGTGTTTAGCTTCACTCCAGCACAGAAGTACATATTAATGGGGTTTAACCCTAGCAAGGCCAAACTATCACTGCTGAGAAACACAGCAGAGGTTTTTAATCAAATTAATAGAATCATACAAATGAAATCTCACATAATGCTTCTCTTTTCAGGACAAGTTAGTAGAAAACTGGATTATAAATTTCCTTATTAGTATATGTCGTGTGAAGTAAGGATGTAAGTTAGCAAACGGCACTGCAAACAGTTAGTTTGGGCCTTGAGAAAACTGTCTGGAGCTCTCCTGGGCAGTGGAATGCTGGACATGTGGCACCAGCATCACCAATTTGTAGCAAGAAATGTGTCCCTTCAAATATAACATAGAAAACAGGTAGTCAGGATTCATCAGCAGCTCTCACACGAGGGACGTGAGTGAGCATTTCCCCTCAGCGGGAGAGGTGCAGCCCATCCCCACACCTCCTGCTCCGCAGGGATTCTCCCGGGCTTTGCCAGCCTGGCTCTGAGCAGTGATGTATATTCTGCCTGTGCCACTCCAGCTGCAAAGTCAGGTTCAGCGCAGTCTGTGGCTCTCGGGGTGCAGAAAGGTTTGGCAAACCAAACAGCAGCTCAGGGGGCTCAGGGATGCCCTGGGACAGACACTGCCGGCTGTGCTCGGCTTCGCTCGGCACCACTGCTCACACAGCTCTTCGGGGGCTGTACAAACCCAACTGTGAGTGCCGCCGAGGGAGAGCCTGGCCAGGGGGAAGCAGTTCAGGCGTCAGACACTTCTGGGGCTCTGATGTGCTTTGCCAATGGGACTTTTCTGGGAAACCTAAGTATTGCTCAGCTGTGGAGCACTGGCATTTCTCAGCATGTGTTTTACGGTACCAAGAGCCTAAAACCCAAGCGACGCTGTGTGTATTGGGTTTACGGACAGAGCGCTGAGGCGCTGGCTGTGCCGCCCGGGGACGCGGCGGATCCACCGCGCCC